GAAATTCTGGACTTTAGGTTCGATAGAAATTCCGAGGGAAAGAAGTAGCCTTCGTGTCAAGGGTAGTTTGAACCTGAAAAACAAAAAAATCCACATGTTTGTACGGCTAACTAAACCACCAACAGCTTTAGTTAGCTTTTTTTTTTTTGTTCTAAACACTGAAAGCATCATTACTGAGCAATTTCAGTAATAAAGTTTTTGTTGAGAAAGATGAAAACCACCCATACCGTCAAACCCACCTCGATGTGAGCATTTCTTCACACTAGGAATGTTCAGTGTTGGGTTGCGGGTCAAACCCGCCCTGCTCAACCTGCTAACCGAGGTTGAGTACTTTTTTGAATCAAAATTTCGACCCTTTTAATCCGCTAAGAAAAAAATACTAAACCTGAACCCGTCACGCTTAATTTTGCTTATTGTGGAACAAACCCACCTCGATGCAGAGCAGCAACAAGAGCAGTGCAGTGTACTCATGTTGCTGATTTGTTTCTCTATCCTTTGTGTTTCTGACACTGGAGAAGATATATTTATTCTGATTTTCGTTACAGATTATTTCTTTAGTTCATAACTCATAAGTACAACAAAATTAAAGCTACAATAAATAAAATTCTCCTAAGGATCTTTCACATGGTATATAGTTCTTACTCAAAGAACAGCGTTCCTTGTCTCACACGTCAATGAGATAAAGCTTTTTCACAGCCTCTCCTCTCTGTTCAATCTTAACATCAGTTCCTGATGATCATTCAGTATCGGATCATTTGTTCCCGGAAGATATTCTCAATGGAGTTCTATCGTAATCCTCATCAACGCTCCTCTCATCATCATCATCATGGCTTCCAAGCTGCACGTGCTTCTCACCTTCCATCGGCTCAACCACAGCCACGGGATCTGAAGCTGACATGATTTGTCCCGGGATATTCTTGTTGTTCTTTTCCTCGCCTTTCTCTGGATCGAAACTGGGAACCTTTTTGCTTACGGAGACCGTGCAGGGCTTGAGGACGCAGGAGTAAAGGTAAGCCAAGAACCAGAAGAGCCAAGGGATACCAACAAAGAACATACCCGCTGGGAGGAATAGAGGGTCCGGATCAGGGAGGAGGAGGTAAAGTCCGAGAAGGACTCCTCCTGTGAGGATACATGAAAGAAAAAGAAGAGTGACGATGTATATTCTTGGATCACCTCTTCTTTGCTCCATTCACAACTAGATCTGAAATACAACGACAAACCAAAGAGATCTTTCTTTCTTCTTTTGTGTGTTTGATTGTTTTCTCTCTCTTTTTTCTCTGTTTGTTTTTGTGTTTCTTTGTTGGGACAATTGTTAGAACGAAAAAGTGGGTGTAACAGAAAACTGAAAAGACCGCTAAATGCGGACTTGGTTTTGTTTATTTGTTTGTATTTTTGTCTGAATTACTATGAAAAATTTGTTAGTAGTGTCGTTGTGAAGTTGTTCGAGACTTTTAATACGCCATAAAAGTGGAAACAGAAATGTAAAACACTAACAATTTCTTTTTGCATGGAGAATAACTCTAATGGTGGCAGTATATCATAAGACCACGTAACAAGTAGGAGCCTATAGGGTAGATACATATGGTTATCGACTTATCGTGCTATCAACCAAGATGCGACCAACGTTCACGATGTCTAAATTCTAATACATGATCTCCACTTTACAAAAAAAAAAAAACGATGTCTAATACAGGAGTTATTGTGTAACCATTATATTTTGAACATTTTTCACATCTAACCACGACCGTTTTCCCCTTACTCACACATGGAAATGAGACAAACACGTGTTCTTTAAAAATTATGAACTGTTGATCATCTAAAATTATCAACGCAAAGTTGAGAAGAGTAAGGAAATATTTAATGAATATAACCGAAATGCTATAACACCAGTTATAAAACCTCATCTTGATAATGCTATGATTTTCTCATGTTTATTTGTGATCAGTTATATGCCAACTACATTTTCCATATTACGAATTGTTGCAATTTTTTTTCATTTTGCAATACTATTTAATCATTAACTAAACATTTATATTTATATTTTTGAAGTAAATGAATTATATGTTAAATTTTAATTCTGTAAAAATAGTTATACCATTTTTATTTAAAATTTTCACAAATTCAAAAATAATGTTTCAAATTCTCATAGTCTTAAAAGAAAAACTGAGACTACATTTTTTAAATTTTCTTACCTTTTAATAAAAAACTCTTTTTAGAAATTACCAATTGGATATCGAGGAAAACCCTAATTTTATCAATTGCGAAAGAGGATGAGCGGTCTTGCGGAGGAGATAGAGAGGGGCGGTCTTGGGGAGAAATTGGTTGGGGAGGAGATACTGGCGAGGGTTCCGATAACATCACTGAAGGCTGTTCGATCTACTTGCAAAAAGTGGGACGCTCTAACGAAAAGGTGTGTTTTGGGTAAAGAAGCAGCAAAGCAAAAGCAGCAGCATCAGTTCCTGGGGTTCGCGACGATAAATGACAAGTTATGCTCTCTGAGGTTCCATCTCGGCGGCGAAGAAGAAAGAGATGATTTTGTGTCGGTAAAGCAGGTAGATTTGTTTAAACATCTGGAGATATCAAAAGTATACCACTGCGACGGGTTGGTGCTATGTATCCCTAAGGATAAGGATAACTCCTCCTCCAACAAACTGCTTTTGTGGAACCCTTATCTGACTCAAACAAAGTGGATCGGACCGAGGGAAAATTTCAGCCCAAGAGACAGGTATGCGATCGGATACGACGACTCTCACAACCACAAAATCCTGAGGTTTGTCGATAGTGCCAGAGGTATTATTGGACTGGGACGCGAGGTGGGGTTCGAAATATATGACATCAGCAGGTCTAATTCTAATTCATGGAGGGTCCTCGAGGTGAAACCTGAGTGGTCGATAGATATGCATCAGCGAGGCGTGTCTGTCAAGGGAAACACCTACTTTTATGCTCATCAGAGATTTGCGGATATGCAACATGGCTATCTTGCATGGGCTGAAGATTTCTTATTATGTTTTGATTTTACCAATGAGAGTTTTGGACCACCCTTGCCTCTTCCTTTTCACTCTTCCGACTCTGGCATTGGTGACTGTGTCACCCTCTCAAGCTTCGCTAGACATCATGTTCATGAAGATGACCAGCTTGCGGTCCTGTTTGGTGGTCTTGAAACTGACTTTTTTGAGATTTGGGTTACCCTTACTGCTGTTGACCCCAACCATGTGTCCTGGATCAAGTTTTTGCGAGTGGATATTTCTTTTAGCCTCGACTCACATTTTGGTGGGAGCTTCTTTGTTAATGAGGAAAACAAAGTTGCTGTCTTGTTTGAATCCAATATTTTCCACACGGCTTATGTGTTTGGACAAGACGGCTACTTCAATTACGTTAAACTCGGAAAAGCTCTCGTACTCGAACACCGTTCCCCCATTACCAACCGCCTCTATAAAGCTGCTCATCCCCCACTTGTTTCCTCTTCCTCTTATCGTCCAAGCTTAGTGCAACTCAAGCAGCAGCAGCAGCAACCGCACAAAAGGAAACGGGAAACAACGCCAACCTGCTCAGAGATCTAAAGTGTTGAATTGAGGATGATGTTACTCTGACCAAGTTTGAGATGTGGAAACTCTTTACTTTTGTTTTATCTTGGTTGTGACCGCACCTCCCTCTCTTTTATCTTCTGTCTCAAGACTGTTCATTTTCAGACTTTCTTGTTTCTATAATGTTTTGTTACCCCCCCCCCCCTTTCTTTTTATCGTCTTATCTTTGTGTTAAAAAAAAAAAAGAAATTACCAATTAGAATGCACTATCTCCAGAAATGTAGAGGCCCACATAGAGGCCCATTTGATAAGTCGGGAGTAAACCGATTCGGTTTATTCACGAGAATTCCGCAGCTGGTTAAGGAAAAACCGCTATTTCTAAATCGAAGCTGAGAGCGAAACTAGAGCGACTGCGATCGGAGAAGAAGAGAGAAAGGCCATGGAAATATCGCGAGCTCGATCAAGCACCGTTTGTATTCTTCTGTTACTCTCACTGAGCTTAATTCCCTCTGCTTTCTCTAAATCGCCTCGTCCCATATCCGTAAGTGTCACCCTAAATCTCTGAGCTTCTGTTGGAATATGCTAAAAGCTGACTCTGTAGGAGAAATCATTTTTTTTTTTGTAGGATGTGGAGATTAGGGAGAAGAAGAACCAATGCTATTCTGATATAGAGAGGTGAGGAGTCCATTTTGATTTAGCTTTGCTTCTTGGTTTTAGAGATATCAAGAATCATTGTAGAATAGTTTGGCTACAACTTGTTACCATCAATGGTTTAGCAAATTCTTGATTTAATATTGTGTTGTGGGAAATAAAAACAGTGGGTTATGGGGTTGGCAATGCAAAGCTTCTGCCATAGCAAAAGAGAATTGTGCGTTGCGATGTCTTTCTCCGGTTTGCTACGAGCTTATCTATGAGAGTGATCCCGTAAGTAGATGATGATGTTTCTGTAAATGGCTGGCTTTTTTTTTATCTTTATGCATTGTGTGTTATTTTGTTGAGCAGCTTGAAGAAGGTGAGAAAGATTTGATTAGGAGCCAAGAATACAAATATTGTATGTACAAGTAAGTTTTTAAAACTGACTTACATATCTATTATCTTAATCTTATATAGTGGAGGGAGGAAGGAAACAAGATTAGTGATATATTAGTTTTGATTTGCTCATTCAGTCCACATAAACTTATCTAATCTATTGATCTGATTTTTTTGCAGGTCTTCGCTCGGCGAGAGCCTAGATGGTGTTCGTGGCAGCTTCTTATAGAACCAAAGCAACAAACAAAAGTCTCTTTAAATTGTGTAGCATCCTGCTCTACGATGTTTGTAAGACTAGGTTTGTTTCAAGCACCAATTGTGTGAAACGTTTACATGTGCAAAACAAAATCGCAATTTCTGCAGAAATATATGATTTTTCTAGCTCATACTATCCACAGTTATGTAGCTTTACACAAACTTGGCAACACGATGAAGAACTCAATTTTAGATTGATTTGGTTAAACAAACTTGGCAACACACAAGAAAAGGAGTTAAGACTGTTGAGATCAGAACACATCCTAAAATTGTTTTCTAACAAATAAACAGAACTTTTATGTTCAAGTAATCAACCGTGACTCTTACAGACGCCCCCCTTGCTCACGAGCAATAGAAGCCGAGAGGATTCCAAGGTCTCGATTTAGAACAGTTAATGCGGCTTCACACTCGGATACAATTCTGGTTACAGTAGACGGCTCTCCAGCTACTGTACCCGATGATCCAATCGACAGTGCTGCATGTGAGTCTCTTAGGTTCTTCAAGTTCCCTAGGAACTGTCACCAAACAAACATCACACAATTCACTTCTTTTCATCGTGTTACCAGAAAGCAAAGTAAAGCTAAAGAGAGCTACTTAATTTTGGTTACCTTGAGAAGCATATTATAGGCCTCCAGTAAACGGTTAGCAGCAGGACCAAACCCATGAAGCTGAGGTACTTCCATCATGTGAGTCCATGGTCGGATTTCCTGCAACATCCATATGCATACAGATAAGGATATAACAATATAGTGGAAAATATTCAGATAGATTGATAGACGAAAACAGCTACGTTGATTGAAACTCTTGTACTTTAACAGTTAACTGTCAGCTGATCTATAGGGAGAGAACACAGTACCTTTGTGTAGATTGTGTTGAAGGCTCTAGCAGTTTCAAGAAACGATTCTAAACGAGCTCTTAGTTCAGATTCCACTTCTGCATATTCTTCGTCAGGGTTGTAGGCATGCTAACAAAAAGAACATTTTTACGTACAGTTAAAGAACATGACTGTCAAAACATAACTTTTCAATGTGGAGCAACAAAAAACACACCTTTGCTGCCAAATCATCCACTTTTTGCTGAAGGTTAGAGAGAATCTTTGCCTGTTCTGAAAGTTTTGTCTCTAGTTCTGAAACATCTGGTCTGCAAATAACATTTGATTAAGGTATGCAACTAAATATGAAATCTCGGAGACCAGCTAGATCTGGAAGCATAAGTCAAGTATGGTTTTGAAAACATGGTAAAAGCATATAACTAAGAAACCAAACAATGAAACATTGGTAAAGCCATCTAACAGGACTCACATATGTTAGTTTATAGCCTGAGGCAAACACACAATCAGTAAATAACTACTAAAAGAACTATAAGTTGGAGATAAAATAGTTCTTACAAAGGATATATAGACTGGATCTGCACATCAGCAGGGAACAGTTTGCATTCCTCAGAAAAGATCAGAGACTGTCTCTCCGCAATAGCATCAATGAGCTGAATATCTTTCGCAACCTGCTCATCGATACTGAAGAATAAGCAAAATCATTTGTTCTGCCCGAATCAGGATTATGAAAGACCACAAAAAAAAATGCAATAAGACATAGTATATGAACAACCTCCATTCTGGATTATCTGAGAAGAGACTTGCCTCCACTAAATCAACAATATTCCGAAGCATTTCCATCCGATCTTCATAGGTTCCATGTCCCTAAAAAAACAATGATCACATCTTCAAAAAAAGTTGAAAGTTTAGAAAACAAAAGGAAAGTTTAAGAAGCTTAGATGCTGACTTGAATGGCTTCAATATCTACTGTTGGTGTGAACCCCAGAAACTTTGCTATCTCTGCCAAATCTGAAAAACAGGAAGATCACTTAGACAAGATCTTCATAGTCTGTATCCATCAATCTATAATGGAAAGATCAACACGATGAAAGGAAAGGCATACACTGAATACGAACAGTTTCTTCATCACGAACTCCAGCATCTCCCTGAAGGTTTTGCTGTGAGAAAGGAGACTTATCACCTAACAACCTTCAAGAAACCACCAAAAAAGCACAATACTTCAACCTCCAACCATAGAACTCTCCAACCATACTTTCACTTTGTTTGCAGAAAGAAGCTAACTTTCGAGGCTAATCAATCAATTTAAACCAGACCCAATTCTACACTCTCAACCTGATCAAACACTCTGCCCACCATAGAACTCTCCCTCCATACTTTCACTATCTTTGCAAAAAGAAGCTAACTTTAAACGCTAATCAAGAAATTTAAACCAGACCCAATTCTACACTCTCAACCCACAATAGAACTCTCCATCCATACTTTCACTATCTTTGCAAAAAGAAGCTAACTTTAAAGGCTAATCAAGCAATTTAAACAGACCCAATTCTACACTCTCAACCCACAATAGAACTCTCCATCCATACTTTCACTATCTTTGCAAAAAGAAGCTAACTTTAAAGGCTAATCAATCAATTTAAAAAAAAACCAATTCTACACTGCTCCCTAATCAAACAATCACAGTAATGTCAACTTCCCTCAATTTTGATCAGAGACTCGAAAACCATAAGTGTACGAATTTGAATTGATCTTAAAAATCTAGAGAGAGAGAGAGATACTTGAAGAAGAGCCATTCGAGAAGAGCATAACGTTCCATGCCAGCGAAGAGGAGAGACTGAGCAGGCGCATTTGCCCTTGGGTAATTAAGCACCCCTAGCTTCTTCTGTATCTCCTCCATCTGCTTCGCCGCCATTTTTTTTCTACTCTCTTCTTCCCCCCTTCAACACCGATCCAACAATCTCTCTCCTGAGATCTCAAACTTCAAATTCCAGAGAGAAAGGTGCTTTCGCAATCTAGAAAGTTTTTTACTTAATGTGATATAAATTGAAACTAAAGGGACCTTTCTGTAAATTCATCAAACTACTCAAGAACATGTGGATTTTAAAAGCTTCCCCTCTTACAGCTTAACTTACTCTTTACTCACATCCACTGAAAAAAAAGGATGGCCTCGGCGATTTTTCCATCGCTCAGACTGAGGCCAAGCTTCTCCTCCGCCACGTCACTATCTTCCTCCTCTTCCTCCGGTGACATAAAACCCCGTCCAGCTGTCATTCTCCCGGTACAAACCTCCTTTCCCCTCCTCTGATAGTATCGTTCCACCATTAAAGATTTGCTTCCTTTTGTGAATTTTTTTTTATATTATTGTTAGGGTTTAGGAAACAATTCAGGAGACTACAAGAAGCTGGAGATAACATTGGGTGAGTACGGTGTTCCTTCAGTGGTTGCAGACGTGTCAAGACTTGATTGGTTTAGAAATGCAGCCGGTTTGGTTGATCCAGCTTACTGGCGTGGCACTCTACGCCCACGTCCTGTTCTTGATTGGTATGAATATTGCTCCATGACACTCATCACTTTTGTTTGTGTTTGGTCTTTTTGTACTGGTTTTAAAAGGATGAGTATGGTTATGAGACAAAAATAAAAATATGGATGATCAGGTATTTGAAAAGAATCGATGACGCCGTCCGTGAAGCAAATGGGTTATCCCAAGGTTAGTCTCTCATAATGTGCAATGATCTCTAGACACACTAGATAGATATACGGCGGTCTACGGCGGATTGGTTTGACTGTAACTGTAGAATTTTCTCTCTAAATTTTTTTGATGTAACTGTATCTAATATAGATGTAGAAATTCATTGAGAAAAAAATAAAAAAATAAAATATATTTCTACAGCAATCCTACAACAATTTCCTACAGCTGCTTTTTTATTTTTTTTTGGCACGATTGGTGATTTATATTTATATGTTTGTAGATAGAAAATAAAGTTAAAAGTCACAAATTAAAACCCAACTAATCACCTTTTGTTGGCTTTGTGTCACATACAGGACAAGGATTGTCTTTGATTGGACACTCAGCTGGAGGATGGCTTGCTAGAGTTTACATGGAAGAGTACGGAAACGTTGATATCTCCTTGTTGCTCACACTTGGTACGCCTCACTTGTAGGTAACCAAAAAAAGAGTTCATTACTTTTTCTAAGAGATGTTTCTTTGACGTTTTGTAACTGTGTGGTTTTGTATATAGACCACCACCGAAAGGACTACCCGGGGTTATTGATCAAACGAGAGGTCTTCTCTATTATGTTGAAGAGAATTGTGCAAAAGCTGTTTACACTCCTGAGCTGAGATATGTCTGCATCGCCGGGAGGTAAATGGTTTTCTATACCCATTGATATTTCATGTGTCCAAACTTTAGAATTCTTATTTGGTAGTTCTTTGTTGTGTAGATACATACGTGGAGCTACGTTAGTGGACAATGCAGATGAAAATGTTGATTCTGAAGTGACGGTTGGAGCCATCTCAGAGCTTGCTATAGCGGGGGATTCTTCAGGGCCTAGTTTCCGTGCTCGTTTTGTAGGGCAGGGATACAAGCAAGTATGTGGAAGAGCTGATGTGTGGGGTGATGGAGTGGTTCCTGAGGTTTCAGCTCATCTTGAAGGTGCACTTAATGTTAGCTTCGATGGTGTTTACCATTCTCCTGTTGGTTCAGACGATGAAACCAGACCGTGGTATGGTTCACCGGTTATTGTAAAAGACTGGATTCACCACCTCCTTGAGTGAGTTTTCAGGTTCTTGTATAAACATTCATCAGAATTTGTTATCTCCCATGTTTCTATTTCTTCAAACTCTAATCATATTATGCATTTATATTCTCCACTAGAGATAGAGATGTTAAAATGGGTTTGAAGTCCGTAGGCGTAATGGGCGGATCTGTGATCTGTTTATTATCATATAAAAATAATTGGGTTTACATGGGTCCGTCCATTTAGGCTCGTCTCATCAATGGGTATATCCGTTGAATAAACTCAACTTTGTTGGCAACTAATGAGTCTCCAATAATCGCTGCAAATCTTTTTATAGTATTTTTCTTTATCTATTTGTATTTAATATACATGTATGTATTAATTTATAGCAGTTACATTAATTTAAATATGAAATGGTGTTTCTGAAATGACGTAAGACTATAAAAATATTTGCAAAGTATGCTAACTAATGTTCTTGCTAAGTTTAATAGTAATATATAGCAATTGCATTAGTTTAAATATGAATTAAATAAAAGTGTTATCTTTTTGGTAGAGAAAATAAAATTGTTGGTGATGCAGAAGAAATTGAGTAAGATAAATAAGACATAAATTATAGAATGAGTAATGAGTATGAAAAATAGTTGATGTTGTTTATAATAAATAATTAAAAACATTCAATTAATTTAGTTAAAAAAATTCATCTATTGATCTGAAAAACAAAGGGCAATGTTGAACACTTGAACTGCTGCCTGATAACAATCTCAATAAGAGAGATTAAATGCTCAAACATCTTTATTGAGACATAAAGAAAATGATAAAGACTAATAGCTCATAGAGCTTTATTGTGCAAATGAAAGTAAAGAAACATGAAAAGATGAGTTTGTCACCAGGAACCAAGAGATTTGTGAAATGATATTGATTTTTCAAAGTTGAAGTTTTCATTACATAGCATGACTATTTATATGAGAACTCATATGGTAAACCCTAGTTACATGGACTAATGGGCTTCACTTGGCTGCTTGGGCCTTAGCTCTAATACTCCCCCGCAAACTTTGCGTCGGGTGAAACCAAGAAGCTGAGTTTGTATGCAAATGGAAATGGCTTGGAATGAGCATAAGAAGATGAAGCAGGGTGCTTGAGATGTTGGCAAATGGCTCTACTAACTTCAAAGATTCTGGTCAGATTTGAAGTATTGCCATACACCTTTTTCAAGGTATCCCACAACTGTTTTGGAGTTTCACATTGTGAGTAAGAGTCCATGATAGGACCATCAAGAGAGCTTTGCAAGATAGACAGCACCATGAGGTCTTCCTGATCCCATTTGCCTTCATCTACCACTACAATCTCCTTACCATCTTCNGTTGATAAATCAAATAAAAGAGAGTATCAAAGTTAAATCGCGGAAGCAAAATAGGTATACAAGAGCTTAAAGCTCTGATACCATGTAAGAAAGTGAAGCTTTGAGATTGAAGAACAAGAGAGAGATGAGAGAAAAGAGTAAAGAAGGAGAAACTTTTTCCTTAGATCTCAAAAATAACGTTACAAAGAGTTATAAAGAGATAGAGTATTCTTATTCTAGTAACCAAACACACTTGACTTACTAGAGAAGCTAGAATGAATAACTAATTTATTTATTTAATTTAATACTGCCAAAGCTGGGTAAACTGCAGAAAGGTAGTAGAATTGCTTTTTACCAAAAATGGACAGAAAAATGGTATTCGTACAGTTCTCCTGTCCTACAATATAAAGTTTTTAGAAAAATAATTGTTAATAAATTACACATAAAAAAAACAGGACCAGATGATCTGTTTTCATCCTGCCTCTCCATTCACACTTGGAGTACAATTATCACTGGATGATAATGATGGTTTTGACACTGACTCTCTGCTACGCGTCGTAATGAAGTTGGAACGTTTGACTTTTAAGGTCTGAGTACCCCTTTCATGGTTTCAAAGAGGACAAAGAAGAGTTGATGACTTTATCTAAAATGATGGAATTTCTGTGGTAGAGCTTTGAGAAAGAGTATCCATGGCTTCTTCCTCGTCTTCTTCTCCAGACATCTGGAAAACAGACGTTTTCGTGAGTTTTAGAGGAGAAGATGTGCGCAAAACATTCGTGAGCCATCTATTCACCGAGCTTGATCGTATGGGGATAAACGCTTTCAGAGACGACTTGGATCTTGGGAGAGGCAAGTCTATCTCCTCAGAGCTTGTAGATACGATCAAAGGCTCCAGATTCGCGATAGTCGTGGTCTCTAGGAACTACGCATCTTCAAGCTGGTGTTTGGACGAGCTCTTAGAGATCATGGAACGTAAGAACATGGTTGGTCAGACAGTCATACCCGTTTTCTACGAGGTTGATCCTTCGGATGTGAGAAGACAGACAGGGAGTTTCGGTGAGGATGTTGAGAGTCATAGTGACAAGAAGAAGGTGAAGAAATGGAGAGATGCTTTGACGCAGTTAGCTGCTATAGCTGGTGAAGATTCTCGGAATTGGTAAGTTTCTAAGATTTTGTTGTTGCAGTCTTGTAGATAGGCTAGGGCACATTTATCCAGAACCAAACCGAACTAAACCGAAAAATGAATCTTACAATTTGGGTTTGAAATTTGGGTCAGGTTTGGATCTTACAATTATACTTATGGATAATATATGTCTAGAACTGAAAACTGAATGGATACTCGAATTTCTATATATATATATATATGTATAAATATTAATTATATTTAGTTTTAAAATAATATAATAATCTATAAAAAAATATTTATATTTGAAATATCCAAAATAGAATTTTTTTTTTTATAACACTGGTGTTTTTACTTGTCCAATACATGGAAAATGTGATACAATAGGAGAAAATACAAGGGATATCAATAGATACCTACAACAATTTGAGGAGGAAAGCTTACCCAACAAATTTCTTACATTTGGGTCTCCAAGACGAGAAGATGATGTAGCCAAGTCGGAGCATGGCTAGCGATATACGACT